CAGACTATACAGTTTGGACACATATTCAGAGGTAGGTTCCATTTTAGACTCTTATTTAAAAGGGTGGATGACAGCATTTTTATTGGAGTGGGGTAGCGAGTACATTCCCCCAGAGGTAAACAGATTGGCTTCAGGATTAGAAAAAGATGAAGGCTCTTTAAAAGATAACTGTAATTGCATAGTCAACAGTAAGATTTTGTTTATCCCCCAAGGGACATTATGAAAGATGATCAAAGTGGGTTTTTTTTTAACTGGGAAATATTGCTCAGGATTAAGGATATTAAGGATTAAAAGATTTCAGAAAATGCAGAAAAAGTTGGGGCTGCTCCACGGAGTTTGGATTTGAAGTACGATTTTCATTCTGGGTTTAAAACAGTCTCCTTGATCTAGTTTGCAGAGTAGAATTCACAGGATATACTCCAGAAGCAAAATAAAGTTTAAGATCTCAAGTTTTGAAGTAACTCATTCTGTACAGAATACGAATCAGATCAACAGGCTGGGAGGGTGACGTAAACTATGATTTAATCTTCTTGCCTCTTGAGGAAAAAGATATTCTAACTGACACAATCTGGGTGAGCAAGCCAACGTGAGTTATTCAGTTACAGACATTGAAAGTGCGCCATATGACTAAGTCTCTAAATATCTAGCAGGAGCAAATGATAGAAGATGTTAAGATCAATTCTTCCTGATGGTAAAGAGTCATTGTTCTGAACGGGGTGTTTGATGGGATCTTTTCCTTGAGGCCCAACTGAGGGCTTGCTGTCCACACAAACGCTGAGTTTGCATCAAGCGGGAGTGTAAGTCTACCACATATTAGCCTGCCATGCATTAGGAGCTCATGAAGACAAGCCGTGAGATCATGCAAGATCTTTGCTTGCAACAAGAATAGTAGGAGAATAAGTGATAGTGTATAAATGTCCTTACCATTAAGGGAGGCAGAGCTTTTAAGATACCTTTATAAAAAGGGAGGTTTCTTCTTCACAGCCACTTGCGTGGGAGACTGGCATCTCCTTCAAAGCTTAATTTTCCTTCATGTTGAAGCAGAAAGTTTCTTTTTGGAGGGAAGAGTCCCTTGGCTTCTAAGGGACCTGAAATAGCCCTGAAGATTTGGAGTGAGCACTGGAATGAGAGGTACTCTTCAAAGACAGCTTTCCCAACTTCAGGCCAAGATTTGGGGAAGGGGTTGCAAAGTGAGAGCACAAGAAAAAAATAATACAACATGATTTTGTTTTAAGTGCCACCATTTCCTAAGGAAGTATGCAATCTGGCAGTGGTGATTAAAATCAATCATCGTGAGGCATAATCTGTCATCTTGTCTAAAGGTTCTGCTTATAAATTTAAACTTCCAAGCTGACAAGTTATAAAGTTTGAAAATAACCACTTGTGTCACTTCTAGGAGCAAAAGGAGGGAAGTTTATCATCCACTTTGTTTTATTCCATGACAAATGGGTGAACAATTCTAATTAACATTTAGCTAGAGGTTAAGTTAAATGGAAACATAACAGTAATTCATCTCAGCCACGAGTCTCCCAGCTCTTTTTCACCAGCTCTGGTGGAAAATCTGTCCCTCTACTGATTTTGACGGTAATGCAGCCTCTCTATATACAAACATCCTCCTTCTTACAATGCACTACCCCATTCACCAAAATGCCAGGCATATTACTGGAATCAGTCTCATTTTAAAAATGCATGTAGAAAGATTATTTTAACACATTTCCTTGATTTCTGAAAGTAGCATTTTGTCCCTGCCCTGTACCGATGCATTTGAAATAGTCTGGACTTTGAGTCAAAAGTTGGTTATCTTGGACTATTTCCCAGAAATTTTGTTCTATATTTTAGAATTATTTTAGAACATAACTGCTGCTTTCTGAACCATTAGCAATCAGATATTCCTCTGAATGCCTGACTAATTCAGATGTTGGGGGAATATTACAAAAAAAATCTGTATGCTATGTGATTTTTGCTGTTGCTGCTAATAGAAGATGCTGGTACTGTCAGAGCATTTAAAGGGCCAACACAAGGAAAAAATAGCCTGACAGAATAGAATCTGTGTGTAGATATAGCCCTATACTAACAAACCCAATAATGTACAATCTAAGAGATTGTAGCCAGCATATTTTTCCTCAATTTACTTTCTTTACAATAAATAACATGTGTCCTCCTAGAGGATCCAAGTGCCCTATCAATTATTTAGAATTACAAATGCAAAACAGTTCTATCAGCTCCCCCTTTCACACATGCAGGAGCAAAAATACCAACACTCCATTATGCTGGTAAGTATATTAACCCCGTCCCTCTCCTCAAAGGCCAGGCAAAACAAGTGCAGTGTGCGCTGAAAGACAAGTGCAAACTAAATCAGACTGGAGGAAAGGCTTCCATGAAGCCCTTACAGAAAACACCCTGTCAGCCCCTCCTTTATTAGATTAATGAGGATTTAGCATCAGCACTTCTGCTGACTGCAGCTATAGCCAGGGCCAGCTCTAGGAAGTGCAGGGCCCAATTTGAACATTTTCGGCGGGGCCCTGGCAGGGATGACTTAAAAAAAAAAAATGTAAAAAAAAGCCTTTCATTTCTTAGCAACCGGTTCCCTATAAAAAGTTCTGATTTAAGAGATGTGCCACAGTATGTATTTTTTGTACCAACGGGGTTACCATACGTTCGTATTTTCCCGGATGGCGATTTAAGAACCAAAAAGCCTGACATGTCCGGGAAAATAAGGATGTATGTTAACCCTACCTAAAGTTCTTTTCTAAAAAGATGGGCCTGAACTAGAAATGAGCTCCGTTTCACATGTGTGGGTCCCCACCACTCCCTGGGGGTGTGTTAGGGTGACCAGATGTCCCGATTTTATAGGGACAGTCCCGATTTTGGGGTCTTTTTCTTATATAGGATCATATTACCCCCATCCCCGTCCCGATTTTTCACACTTGCTGTCTGGTCACCCGGTGTGCACATGTGTGGGTCCCAGCTGCTCCTTGCCCCCCTCATTGAAGCAGGTGTGCAGGGTTAATGCCCTGGGTACTGCAGGGCACCAGTGGACATGGGGCTGGCTGGAGGCAGGGCAGGGGCTGACTGGAGGTAGGGTCTGGCTGCAGGCAGGGCAAGAGGTCCGGGGGTTGCTGGAGACAGGGGCTGGTGCGGGCAGGGCAGGGGGGTGTGGGGCTGGTGTGGGCAGAGGGTGCGGGTACAGCCCACCCTGTACGGTAAGTGCCCCCTCCTCCTCCCTCCCCCACCGGGGTAGCAGCAGCAGCCCAGGGCTCGGGGGCTATTTAAAGGGCCTGGGGCTCCTCTGCTTCCACTGCCCCGGCCCTTTAAATAGCCGCAGGAGCCCTGGGGAAGCGGTGGCACTCCAGCAGCTATTTAAAGGGCCGGGGCGGTAGAAGCAACGGGAGCCCCGGACTTTTTAAATAGCCCCCAGAGCCTCGCAGCCCTACCCCAGGGCTCCAGCAGTGGGGCTATGGTGACAATTTAAAGGGCCTGGGGCTTCAGCCCCTGCTGGGAGCCCCAGGCTCTTTAAATTGCCCCCTGGGGAAGCCGGGCCTCCTGGGTACAGCACACCGGCTCTTGCTGGTACGCCGTACCGGGGCTTGGGTGCGGGGCCCTCTTAGGGGCGGGGCCCGATTCAGGGGAATTGGTTGAATTGGCCTAAAGCCGGCCCTGGCTATAGCAGAATATAATGGGGAGATGCAGTCTCAGGCAGGCTGTTCCCAGGTCATTTCATGCTTTAGAAGTCAAAGCCAGCACCTTAAAACCTACCAGAGAGCGCACAGGTAACCAGGGCAGGTCCCAAAGCATGGGGGCCATGTGCTCTCTATAGGACACCATGCTTACCAAGAAGGCGAGTTAACTTTGGCACCTGTTCCAGCTTCCAAATCAATGTTAAGATATGGCCCCTTGTAAAGCACATGGCAAAGGTCTGACCGTGAAATGTCAAAGCTACAGATAACGGTACCAAGATTCTTATTTGAAAGAATGACAGAATGCCTCTGACCCAGGGCCGGCGCTGGCGACCCTAGGCAGTTGCCTAGGGTGGCAGGATTTGGGGGGTGGCATTTTGCAGCCCTCGGCAGAAATTCGGCAGCGGGGGAGGGGCGCCTTCCGCTCCGGGTCTTCGGTGGAAATTCGGAGGCGGGTCCTTCACTCGCTCCGGGACCCGCCGCCGAAGTGTCCTGAAGATGGAGCGGAAGGGACCCCCGCCGCCAAATGCTCAGAGGAGGAGCGCTGCTGCCTAGAGCGGCAAAAACCCTGGCGCCGCTCCTGCTCTGACCAACGCTGCCACCTGAGGCCCTAAAAACAGCTCTTAGTCTAGTCAGACGCCCAAGTAACAGTTTCCATAATAATTACAACCAAATGGCAACAGTGGGGCCCCTTTGATCCACATGGCAGATCTCTGCTTCAATATTCTGCTCTTTTTACATGCATGGGGATATCTCAGAAGTTACTGAAAGGAGAATGGACCCATTCACACTGCTGTAAATCAGAACGGACTCCACAGAAGGAAGTTCTCTCTCACAAAGGAGAATTACACCTGCGTAACATTGAATTAACAAAAGGGTAACCAGGACCAGTTTTTGTACAGTGCTCTGGAACAGTGTTATATATTACATATAAAGAGCTAACTGTATGAGTTGAGATGCATCATATGGATCTGAGAGTAACTTTACGCCCATTTGCTGTGTTCAGAGACCAATTTAGCACAAGTGATTAATAATTTGATCAAAGTTGGTAAATTAAAAACTTGTTATTGGACAAATAAACCCATACAATTTGTTTAGTTGCCTAATACCTCTAAACCCAGCTCAAGTTTATATAGCAGTTAGTTTGAAATTTGTCATGGGTCTTCTGTTTTCTGCACTAGAACGGTCAGTGTCATTAGTAGCTAGGATCAATGTTAATCTGTCATTTAGCCAATGCTAATTAAAATTCCTCAGCACAATAATATATACATACTTCTCAAAAGGGAAGTATTTCAATGGGAAATCTTATTTATATGTACTTACTGAGATTGAACCATTGTCTAGACCTACGGACAGCCTTCTTGTTTCCGGGTTAAAAGACATGCATGAACATGGAGCTGAAAAAAATGAACATGTTGATGAAGTTAACAAAACCATGATTCTCATTGATCTTGAAGCTCTGGAGTCCCTATCTAGCTAACATACTTATGAGGCTATTCTTTATTTTACCCCTTGATAGAAAAGCATAAACATACTCTTCCTGCAATGCTATTCAGTAAACCCTGTTACATCAGGAAATAAATGAGTAGCTATACAACTACTCCTTATTTCATGATCCACTTTTTCCCCCCTCAATTAAATTATTTAAACAGAAAATGTTATACAAGAGCAGTTGTGGGGTCACAGACCCCTCAAAGAATATTAAAGACATTTCAGTTTTAAAGTTTTTGTGGATTTAACAGAATGATTGAAGTTAATTTTCTACATTTTCTGATTTTCAGCTATAAAGTAATATAATATTATTTCTAAGGTTTACATCCCATCAGTTTAAATTCTTGAAGTAGGAAACTCCTATGGACTGAAAGGTCATTGAGTTTCAACAAAATTAAAGACAGATAGTCCATAATGGAACTACAGTTGTCAATCATCTCTATTATAATTAGATTACATTGTAACCAATGACTAAAAGTATGTTCAAAACAATATTCTATCTAATACCCTAGAAACACATTACCCTACACAACTACCACACTACAAATGTTCAGGATATTCTCTTGCAGCTTGCTTTTTAAAAAGTGTCTTAGGCTCTTTTGAGAATCTGGTGATGTTAATATGTTGGTGTAGAGTCAGAATTTTCTACTAAGAATTAGAGTTATGTTTGCTCTCTGTTTATAGACAGCCTTTTTAATCCAATTTAGGTGTGCAGTGATAGTTTTGTTTTTTTGCCTCTTAATACTGTAGCTGACGTCTCAATCAAGTTTCTGCAGGACAGGTTCAACATTACAACTGGCAATCTTAGCAGTGGGGCCAGGAATTCTTGCTCCTTCTGATTTTTACCATTATTCCTGTGATCAATATAGAATTAAAGAACTAAAGATTTTTAGTACTGCTTTTCACTGGATTTTTCTGTTCTGTTTTTGTAGCCCTCCCCCGACCCCTAACTACGTATGTGCACTTGCTTCTATAAATAGTGAATACCCTATATATTTTCAACTTGTTTTCTCAACAGTTTTAAACAAACACTCTAGATTAGTATCAAAACATCCATCAATCCAGTGGAGCCTCCATGTTCTTTATTTTGTGGCATAATCAGATGAAGACAAGACAATACAAAAAAGTTTGTGTTAGACATTTAACTGAAATTTCACCACCACGTGGAGTTTAGGATTGTATTGATTTATTTATTTATTGAGGGGCGAATACAGAATAATTTATGGCAACAGAAACTCAAAGAGCACAACAGTCAATCAAGTAGATCAAGAGTGGCTCTGATTACTTGTTTTTTCACTTTATTTTTTGGACTGTCTAACTTGCTGCTCAACGAACAGATAAAAGGCTTCAGTTAAAAAAGGAAGCGGTCACAATGAGAAGTATTTTGTGGTGCTACTAACACCACCAGAGATTATTAAAATGAAACTGGTGAATAGAAAAGTTTACTTTTCACCATTTTGCCATTTACTTAGTGGATTTAAAGCAATTTCTGTTAAGAGGTCATTCCAACTGCTGGTGCTTGGCGCAATGCTGTTATGTCTGGGTTTCTAACATTGCAGGGCAGTGTTTAAGGCAAATGATTATTCTTTCAAAAAAATCATTGTATCATACCAGACTATATAAAAGCCTTAAAATACCACCCCCACCCTACATTTTTGGTCCAGTGCTAGATAGTATCTAATCTAAAGAACCTCTACTACCATTGCAAATACTATTAACAGTTCACAGAAAATCAGATTTTTACAAATCACTGTCAGTGACGGGGTCCAATAAATTAGTTATTTTTCAAGTCATGCTTTTTCCAAAACACACAAACAATGTGTCAGTAATGGAGCTGACAAAAAAAAAAAAAAGCTTTTGGGTAAAAATATTCAAAAGCACTTAAACAACATAGGCCTAGTATAACTATTTTTATTAGGGTTTCCCCCCCCACCCAAACCACAATAGTTATACTGGTACCACCCCTAGTGTACATGCAGTTATTTCTGTTTACAAAGATGCCATACATCTTATTCCTTCTCTTATATAAAGCACCTTTTTACTGGCTTATTTACGTTCACCCTAGGGGGTTGAACTGCTTTAATTGTACCAGTATAGTTAAAGTGATACAGCTTGTGTGTAGACGAGCCCTTTCGTGCTTACTTCCCATTGAAACTACCTGAGTCTCATTGACTTAAGTGCTTTGAAAATAGAACTTAAGCTGGTAAAACATTTAAGGGCTTGTGAAAATTTTACCCACAGGACTAGTCATTTTCATTAAGTCCCTCTGCTTTAGTCTTATTAAGGGTTGTTCTTCAGAATGGAATGATCCAGTAACCCCTTCTGCCGCCGAAAAGACTTGAGGTGGTGTCTTTTGTTCATTTACTTACAAATATGACAAGTGACCCACCCTTAATGCACTCATTTTCACCTTCTCAAACTGAATTATAAAGGAATTAACAAATAATATAGTCTATACTCCCCCTATGGTACATTCCTCTCTGCTACAATGAAGTATATACTGTTACTTTACATCTGTGGTCTCCAACCTTTTTACGCACAAGATCACTTTTTGAATTTAAGTGCAACCCAGGATATACCCGGCCCCTTCCCTGAAGCCCGGCCCCTTCCCTAAAGCCCCACCCACTCACTCCATCCACACCTCCCTCCTTAGCTCGCTCTTTCTCACCCTCACTCACTGTCAGCTCTGGGAGGTAGTTTGGGTGCAGGAGGGGCTCCAGGCTGGGGCAGAGTGTTGGGGTGCAGAAGAGGATATGGGATGCTGGCTCTGGGAGGGGGGCAGGGCCGGGGTGCAGGAGGGGGTTTGGGGTGCTGGCTCTGGGAGGAGGCTCAAGGCTGGGGGTTGGGGTGTGGGCTCCTGCCGGGTGGCACTTACCTCAGGCGGCTCCTGGTTGGAGGCGCAGGGGGGCTAAGGCAGGCTCCCTGCTTGCCCCGGCCCCATGCTGCTCCTGGAAGCGGCCAAAACGCCCCCGTGGCCCTAATGGGGGAGGGGGGGCACGTGGCTCTGTGCACTGCTTCTGCCTGCAATCACCGCCCCCACAGCTCTCATTGGCCGCAGTTCCCCATTCCCGGCAAATGGGAGCTGTGCGGCTGGCACTTGCAGGCAGGAGCAGCACGCAGAGAACTCTGCCCCCACAGGGGCGTGCTGGCCGCTTCCATGAGTGGCTTGGGGCCAGGACAGGCAAGGAGCCTGCCTTAGCCCTGCTGTGCCGCCAGACTTTTAGCGGCCAGAGATCATGATAGACTGACAGAGGCTCCAGGATCGACCAGTCTATTGTGATCTACGGTTTGGTGACCACTGCTTTATATAATTATTATCCCTATGAGTCCCTTGAGATGGGATACAACCAATACTGATTTTATTTAAAAGCCATCATTTTTATACCTAATGCATATCCTGATTTACAACATATTTCACTCTCCCCTAGATCACAGTAGTTTGTATTGAAACTATTAAAACTAACATCAGGTAGGCAGAGCAGGCTACCTCCTGGTACATAACAAACTCCACCCTCCTCTATTACAGGATTCCATTCTACACTCTTTTAGCATATTTCTCTTCGCTAGACTGTTTCCCTTTCATAATCTTAAGGCCATCTACAGGCAAAAGTAAGGTTTAAACAGTGCTCGAATGCTTAACACTAACAAAGCCTTCGTGAATGTGCATGAGGAGGATGAGCTGCCTGTAGTTATCTTTTAGAGGCCCATTGTAAAGAATACTGCTGCTAAGCCAACTAACATGTACTGAACATGAGAACTATATTAACTTGTTTTTCAGTTCATTCCTGTTAGCCATATAGATCAGCAGTGCCTCTTAAGTCTGAGTTTTCACTGTCTGTTTCCCCAGAAGTAATAATCTATCAAGCATGAGGAGGGTGCTGTTCCAAAAACGAAGATCATCAACAAAAGAATTTTGTTGAATATGGGATGCTGGCTCTGGGGGGCATCTGTTAAAGAATTCAAAAGTTTCATTCCAGTGCTTTCTCTCATTTTGTTCTCGTTCCATATTCTGATATCCATTAATGACCTATTTCAACGCAAGGCCGGCAGAAACTCAAACAGCTGACATCTGGCTCAGTCCTGTAGCTCTCCCTTCTTTCTCCCTCTTCCTCACACAGACACTCCCAGCGTACTAAGAAGTAACAAGCACAAATAAGAATCCTGTACATCTGTGTTTTGAATAGTGATGCCAAAGTGACGTATGCATGTGATGCTAGTGGGATGGCTATGCTTGGGAGCAGGGATTTCAGCACATTCTGGTAGCAAAGAGACATCTTTCCCCCCACCTACAGCCCTAACAAGCCTTTTTAGACAGTCACTGCTCCAGTGCTGCTTTCTCTTGGCTAGAGAAGCTAAAAGAAACTGTGTGAAGAACACAGCAATGCCACTCCACACTCAGGTAGCAAGGTCACTTCTGGTGTAAGAGGTGTGTGGGGCAGTGGGAGTGACAATCACTCATGTCCCATCCAATAGCTTTCAGAAACAATGATATAGAAAAGACACAATGTGTGTCAATTCAGCAGGCAACACCTCACAGCCCTAGGATTATACTTGTATGCACTTAGAAAGAAATGCTAGAACAGCATGACTCATGTTCGATAGTTCTAAATTTTTCCAAGATATTGGGCGAGGGGGATGGTGCAAGATGTTCCTCAAAATTGGGTGTGGGGGTGAGGCTGACAGGCCAGCTCAAGTCAGAGCAATAGGCCAATTCTCTTGTGTGAGATTATCAAAGAAACGTTAAGTGTACTAATTCACTTGACTGTTAATTTATTTCAAAGGAAATGCGAATGATATGGTATTCACTTATCTAGAAACTGTTGATTGCCGTCGATTTACATTATGTGTATCCCTGTACTTAATTAACCCCTAGATCAAAAATTGTGAGAATACTTAAATAAGATTTTTCTTGATGTGTAAACTTAATGAAAACTAATGAAGGATTGTTCCTGGCTATCACACTATGCTTACATTATATGAGAATGGAGCATTGGAAATGTACAAGATCGCTAACTTCAAAGCATGCGTTGCTGTGTTCGACAATGGAAATTCAAAGACTTTGTTTATATTTAATCAGCAAAAGGAGAGGGTTCATGCTATGAATGAAAACACCTGCCAGACTGCCTTCCCTGGAAAGATGCTACAAGAATGGATTCAGCAATTGATCATGTATCTCTGAACTGGATGCTAACAGGGTGGAATACTGAACAAGTGGACAAAGATCCCTAGAATTACTCTGGGTAACCCCTGAGGAACTTTTGGAAATTTAGCAGATTACTGAAATGTTAAGAATTGTAGATTTATAAACTTTGACTCACCTGTTAATGTATTTTACCTGCTTTAACCTCTCAATAGTTCATTTCCTTTTTTAAAAAACTAATAAACCTTTAGTTGTTTACTAGAGAAATTGGCTGCCAGCATTGTCTTTGGTGTGATGTCGAGAGTATCCATTGACCTGGAATAAGTGACGGACCCTTTGGGGTTGGGAGTAACTTAATGAGATGTGATATTTGGTATAGTGACCAGTATCACGAAGTCCAATTTGTCTGGGTGGCAAGGTAGGCTGAAGAGCCTAAAGCAGGGGTGGGCAAATTTTTTGGCCTGAGGGCCACATCCGAGTTCCGAAACTGTATGGAGGGCCGGTGTAGTGTATTAAATTGCTCCCCGTAGGAATGTGCTACTTACGGTGTACTACTTATGGCTGCCAGTCCTGGTGCTCTGAGCGGCATGGTAAGGGGGCAGGGAGTGGGGGGGTTGGATAAGGGGCAGGAGAACCCTGGGGGGTGGCAGTTAGGGGACAGGGAGCAGGGGACAGTTGGATAGGAGTGGGAGTCCCAGGGGGCCTGTCAGGGGGTGGGGGGTGTGGATAGGGGTCAGGGCAGTCAGGGGACAGGGAGCAGGAGGGGTTGGATGGGGGTGAGGTCCCAGGAGGGGGCAGTCAGGGGACAAGGAGCAGGGGGGGTTCGATGGGTCGGGGGTTCTGAGGGGGGCTGGGAGGAGGCGGATAGGGGGTAGGGGCCAGGCTGTTTGGGGAGGCACAGCTTTCCCTACCCGGGGTGTACTGTATTAAATTGCTCCCCGTAGCAATGTGCTACTTACGGTGTACTACTTACAGCTGCCAGTCCTGGTGCTCCGTAAGTAGCACATTCCTACGAGGAGCAATTTAATCTACTACACGCCGGCAGCTCTTGCAGCCCCACTGCCCGGCAGGAGCTCACAGCCCCACCGCCCAGAGCGCTGGCGGCACAGCGAGCTGAGGCTGTGGGGGAGTGGGGACAGGAGAGGACGGGACGGCGGCTAGCCTCCCTGGCTGGGAGCTCAAGGGCCGGGCAGGACAGTCCCGCGGGTCGGATATGGCCCGCGGGCCGTAGTTTGTCCATCTCTGGCCTAAAGGGACTGTTTGGGACTAAATGGTAAGACTAACAGATTGATCAGGAGTGCACATGTGTTACCGGTTTGGTGAAATCTAGTTGTAGACTATACCACCAGTTTGGCGTATATGCCTTGACAGTCTGACCTGAAATTGGCACTCACAATTGGGAGCCATTTCAGACTGCGTGACAAGTGGTGTAGGCGGCAGGATTCACATGCCACAGATCAGTTGGGCTTAAAGATTAGAACAGAAGGACAGAGGGAAATCTAAAATTACCCTGCTCAGAACTGATTTGAGACAGAATTAACGAGATGTCCCCATGTTTTCTCATGACACCCACCGTTTGCAGAGACACAAAACCCAACCCTCTGGATCTAGGGGATCTGGGCAGAGGTAACAAAAATCTTAAACACAAATGTATACAAATATTTTAAAGAAATAAATATCAGCCAAAGCAAATAAACGACCTACCGCTAAGGCATCTGTTCCACTACAGAGCTAGGTAAGGGAACACAACTGCTTAGGTCAGATTAACAGAACTGCAGCTGCTATAAATCAGCATAGCTTCATTGACTTCAATGGAGCTACCTACTTTTACCCCAGCAGAGGATGTGGCCCGGTATGTTTTTGAGCAACATACTGAATATACAGACCACTCAAGCACTGAGATTCCCACAAGCTCACCCATGGACACAAGATGGCGGTTAGAAGAAACGGCCTGCCAGGGACACCTGGAATCCTTCTTGAATAGAGTAACTGGGGTGTTTCCCCCGTTGAGCATGTTTGGTTTGGTTTGGAACATGTCAAAAAATATTGCATACTCCTGCTGCAGGATGTTAGTAACCCATCAATACAACAATGCTGTGCTAAGACTCCAAGCTTACAAGCCATTACTGGGGAACTAAACACTGAGTAGGTACAATGCATTTCCCAGTAAAGAGATGGGTCTGTCAATCAGCAAGTCTTAAAATGTAAACTTAACATGTAAATATTCTCTGATTGGAGAGCAAGGCTGAGGAAGGAAGAGAGATGGGAAGAGCGTTACATGTTAGTAACTCAGATTCACAGGATAACTTTGGTTTTCAGTACACTACGAGCAGGTGGGGTTTCCACCCAGCTCTGAATAGAATCCACGCACACTTAGCTCAAACTTACCCCTCCCACCCATCCCATTATTTTTTTCTTTATTGGTAACTCATAAGCACAACACAAGCCAGCCTAAGCTTTCTCCCTAGGGTTTCCATGCAGAAACCTGCCTTAGATCTGGTACCCTCTCTCTAAAAATCACTCCCCACTTCTGTTATATCTGTGTGAACTGACTTAAGGAGCCATACCTGCTAAGGAGTCAGCAGCTTGACAGAACTTTAACATGGTGCATCAGCAAAGAAGTCATGTCAACCTGTTGTGTGCATCATTTATAAACTTCCCTCTACAACTAGTGCAACCCTTCTCTAGAAGGTAGCCAAGATTTGCCACACTGGAGAAGACCATTGGCCTGTACGTCCAGTATCCTGCAGTAGCCAATACCAGATTCTTGCCCACTAAGCATTTTAAAGGTTATAATGCTATAGGAGAAAGGGGTGAAATATGAAAGGTTCTTACTGGAGACTCCTCAGCCTTGACTGACCCCTTTAATGGCAGAATTTTAGACTGGACTGAGTTTCCTGGCTTTTGGTGATTTGCATTACATTTGTATATAAAAGTGTTCAAGCATTCATTCATCACCTGACTCAGTGATTCTAGTTTCCTCTTGCTGCACTTTCACCTCCCCTCTCCAGTATTCTGTTAATGACCCTCAGGACTTTGTCCTCCATCCTCCACTCTTTTCCCCTTACACACAGATCTTCCCCTCTACTCATGAATTCTCCCCCACTCTTCACTCACCTCCAATTGCCCTCAGGCTGGCCCTCCCTTCTAATGCAGCCAAATTCCACTAGCCTCCTCCACTGCCCCAGCTCAGAAATTTGATGTCTCACCCTTTTTCTCTTCCTTCCATTGCCGAAAGCCATTTCTGATCTTCCTCTACATCATCATCATCATCTATGGAACCCACACTCTTCTCCATTCCCTACTGCTTAACTTTGACAAATGCTATGGTCATCTCCTCCCTTAATTTTTGTAACATTCTCCTCTCTGGCTTCCCTCAACTTCCACCTTCCTGTCCCTCCAGGATGCCTAGTTAAAAATAAGCACACCTTTTCCCACTGTTCTGATCAGATCACTGCCTACTTTAAATCCCATTATTGATTTTCCTCATTTCCCCTTAATTTCAAGGCTCTGTAAACACCATTCCTGTCTATAATTCTGTTCACTTCTTTCTACTTTCATTCTTTAGTTAGCTCATTGATGGTGGATGGATATGCTTGACATCTCCGGATGCTGCTGCTGTGACAGAGTGGTCATATCACTTACCCAGCATCAGAACCCATACGCCAGAAGATTGAGCTCATCTCAAATTGCCCATCCAATCCAGCCCCAACGTATTCTCTTCCCACTCTCCTCTTTGTATCTTCACTGATGCCACCTCTTTGGGGATATCCTCCCTCTTCTCACATATCAGACAATCCTCTCTTCTAGACCCTCTCTCAACAAAAGAGACACCACTTCCTCTGCAAAACTCCCTACACCACCTTCAGCTCATACTGGTGCATCATGAATCTGAACTAGATTGTCATCTCTTCAGGGTAGGGACTGTGCCTTTTGCTTTTAAAAAGAAATCACCACTACTAACACTTGAGCTAGTAATAGAAACAAAGGAGAAATTTTTACAAAGTATCAAATAATTTATATTAAATTTAAAAAAAGATAGGGGATTTTTTTTAATCGGTTCATAACTTGGTAAACAAGCTTCAGAGAACCTAGACATTTAGCTCAAGTATAGTATCTAGCATACAATTGTGAGCTCCCCAAAAGGTCACAAGCTCAGAGGTACATGTCCAGGCCCAAAGAAGTCAGTCGGCAAATACACAGTAAAGAATGAACATCCCAAAATACTTACATGGCATTGCATGGTATATGCTAGGCCAATATTGTCCACTCTCTCTCTTCAGCCACACACGGACAGTTCTGTAGAGGAAAAATAAGTCAGTCATTCATATTAATTTTCAAGTGAATGTTAGAGTTACTAGACAAATAGCCTTTGAAAACCAAAATATTTTGCCCAGAAAACAAAACACAAGAATCCCTTTGATTCCCTACTAGCCTGCCTCAGTCATTAACTGTATCTAGGGATAAGGTGACAGTTAATTCTCTATGCCCATCCCAATCCTTGGCATCTCTGCTGAATGCCCAATAATAACGAACTATCTGGCATGTGTGGTAGCATTTTTGATGTTGACTTTTGCCCACTAGGAAGTGGACTATGGCCACCAACACATTTCATATAATCCATCCGACAGTCATTAAGATAGCAATGACAACTAATTACTAGCAACATGAACCACATTCTAATCAAAAGGGCTCCTGAAAGAGAGGCCAAAGACCGATGTCCCTCCAGCTCCTGGTTGAAGCTAGAGGCTGGGTGGTTGTGGTGGAAGAGACTATAGTGGCGCTGCTGTACCCCTTTGGTGGAAAAGCAGAATTCAGTCCACAGTACTGTCAATCTGTCACATTTTACCAGCTGTAAAATTAATGTAAAGAGTTAATTTAGCAGGGTTGAACATGTTGTATGGAGGTGGAGAAAGTTACAAGGATTTTAGTCCAACGTTATTTGAATTTTTATCTACCGGTAATTATTGTTATTCATCCTTTAGATACTTATACATTTCATAGTATGCAAACAGAATGGCTCTACCCGAATTACTGAATTTCTTGTTCAAAGGTTGGGAGGGGTTCACAGTACCCTAGTGCCCCTCGGATTCATAAAAATCAAGTAATTCAGAAAGTTATAGACTTGGGACATTATACAAATATACTTAACTAAAATGCCTCTTATGTAGCTCTTTGGAACATATGCCACTCAGAAAAGGATACCTGAGGTGGTTTGTTAGTGTCGATACTGGAAGACTTATAGTTTGGACTATTTAAAAAAGACATGCATTTGGTTAAAATTACCTTTTTAGTTTTAACTGTCATTTATAGATGAGTAAGTGAAGGGTTAGATACACCTTGGCAGATTTTAAGGAAAACAATCAAATTTGTTTTGAGACTGCAGTCTATCATTGCAACCAATATGGTCACATTGTTTCCTTGTACTCCTCCATCCCTCTATCCATATCCATCTGTTGTCTCTTGTCTCACATCCACTCTCTCCATTGTAAAAGCAGCTCCCATTTTGGTGTGTTTGTGCCGGGTGAGCTCAGCACACAGTTCTGGGAATGTGGCCTTCTGCATCCAAAAGCTATGCCACCACCGCTGGTCATCCCAGGTTTGCATCACAATCTGATCCCACCATTTGGTGCTTGCTGCATGGGTCCAGAACTCCCAGTGGCCACCTGCAGCAGCTGGCCAAGTTTCATTCAATAGCCGCATCATCCACTTCCCCTTAGTATTTTCATTTGTAGTGTCGTGCAGCCGGCCACACTGTGGTAGCTGTGGTTCCACAAATTAAAAACAGGGTGACTGATTTGTTTTGTAAGCAGCCACAAGAGCTCTGCTAATCAGTTGAGCATGCATATTTGCCAGTGAGGTGGTGGACAGACTGAAAACTGTCATGAGAAAGACAGTAGATATCAAGATGGACCAGAGAATTGTGGGAACTTGACCCCAAACTCCCACAACTCCTTGAGAGCACTGGTTTCCCTCAATATCAACATGTGTTCCTGCAAACATTTCCCACAAAGTAATGTGCCAGATGGTGATGGGGATAATGGGATGCCTTCCCACTGTGCCGCACAGCTGCTGCTGATACAACTTGGCACTATGGGGACCCACTGCACCAGCAAAGGCAGCCAAATGTAAACACACCTCCACCGAAATAGCTATGCCAGCTGCTATATGCTGGCAGAACTGTTACTGATAAAGCTTTGTGGCGTAGACAGGTCTTAGATTTAAGCTCCTTGTGGCAGGGACCTGCTTTTTGCTGTGTAATTACAGTGTCTAGCACAATGGGATCCTGGTCCGTGGCTAGGGTTCCTCGGCACTATGGTAATACAAATTATTAACATTAAATGGAACTGCCTTTATTTCATGGTCTCCTCTTAATAAATTTTTTAGTAGACTTGCACACACAATATTCAGTATACAGAAATGAGTACAAACCACCAAGTAGCAGCTATTAGTTAACAGTGTCAGTACAGAAACCCAACAGGTATGCTAGGGTAATGTAAATTTAGACAATCACAAATAAGGTCAATATGCCATTGTGATGACTGCAGACTGATTTTTGTGGAGGACATTAGGCTAGTTAGTTTAGCAACACTATTAGGGTCTAATAAATGGTACTTAGGAGATCACCGTGTGGCCACTTAGCACTCCCTCAGCATCGAGGTAAGCAAATTCCAATCCTCCTTGCTCTTTGGAGTTGTGGCAGCATTCCAGGTTTGCTTCTCAAATGCTCCTGACTTTAAGCATACTTCTTCCTCCTCATTAAACAAACTCCTTGCTTTTCTCTGGGAGAGAGTTAAAGCAAAGCCTTCAAGCAAGCTGAGAGATGCAGTGGTTTTCCCTCTTTTGAGCAAGGAGAACGTAAAACTTAAACAGGCAGCAAACATGTTCACTGGTTTCCCTTCCTCTTCAGAGCAGAGAAGTCTTTAAAAAGGCAGCAAACAGACCAGTGTCAAAACACACACTAATAAAAGGCTTACACTGATCTTAGTAGTGTTAGCTCTGAGGAGCAGACTTTTTAGAGTATAGCATTTGAGCTGCTCAACCACTCCCAATCCCAAGAACTAGCCTTCCACTTTTGATGCACCAGGCTTGTTTCCCAGGAGGCCAATGAGTTCTCTATCTTTATAGGCCCTGCTAGATAATCCGTGGCCTCCCCACAAAGAACCTGGCCTGTAGCCCTGTAATCCATTCAGTCTGCTGACCCCTCCATCACACAAGTATGGCATATTTTTGTTAAATTTCAGGTTTGTATGTTTGTGACAAGAATGTCACATACTTTGCTGTACTATCACAACAGCACGGGTACATAAAGCTTCTACCAGCCTGCAGCAATAGATAGACAAGCAGCAATCAAAACCTGCCAAGATCTACCTCATCTGGAAATTCCCTGACTGCCAGCAACTAGGTGGCTGTGTTCAGATGAATTTTTTAACCTAGTCTTCTTTGAATTTGCTTTTATCATCCCCCAAAATATGTTTATTTTGGGATAGTCCCCCACATATCTAGAAGTACCAGTTTTACCACTACTATCCTAGCAGAGGACTGTCTGTCATACCCTATTCCGCAAGGATTTTTAAATGTAAAGTCCTATAGGAGATAGTGTATTTACAATTTAGATTAGAACAGATGGACACTTTGAATGGGGTACGCCAAACTTCCCTTCTCAGTGTCCAGCATCAAATCAGGCAGCAAAAAACTAAGTTCACATTTAATCCAAATTATTCTTTACATTTTCGTTTGCACTTTAAAAAGAATTCTATTAGTTATTAAAGAGCTACTGAATAATGATAAATCCTGGCAGTTTACTATCCTTTGAGTAGGAGAATGCACTCAACAGTCCATCTTCAACTAGTAGAAAACACTGCAATGAACTCAGATCTTGGGGGCTGCGTTACTTTGCTGAAAAGCTACATTTTCTTTAATCAGTACTGCCCTGAAGAGTACTGGAGCCTTATTAAAAACTTCAATAATAATCACCTCTAATAGATGGTTTATCTACAATATTTGAATTTACATTGACACTGCCCATTTCTGAATGGAATAGAAATGGAGCAGGGCCCCTTAATCTTTATTCAGAAGTTTTATTTGCTTACAAAGAATTCAGGCAGCAGAATAAATATTTAGCATCAAGAATTTAGAGCATAGGAGGAGCCAAACTATCCCCTGTAAGTGACTTTCAGCCTACATTCTGCACATTTTTGTACGCCTCTTGGTACAACACGGTCCGCCAGAAATTAAACCCAGAATTTTTAAAACCTCATAAGAAAGCAAAGCACAAATAAATGTAGTTTAAATGCATTTATTATGGAAATAAAGCATAGAGTATATCTGCTGGTTGCTTAGTTACTGAAATATAACAGAGTACCCACCCACCTCAAAATCCATTCTTCAGCTGCTCTAGAATGCAAGTCACATTACCATGGAAATGAACTGTCCCTTTGAAAGTGAAGTCATATTTTGCTGCCAGTGAAATGATTTAAAAAGAACTTTGAGAGTACTCGATGAATCAATGGATACTTTTCTAGTCCTTTCATGACAGATCTTTGTGCATTCTATAGACTGAAAAACTGCATAAAATGAACAATTATGCCACTCAAAGGAGTGAGACTGCACTCTTTATATATTAAAGGGATACAAAATCTTATTACTTAATTTTAACACAGCTTTTTAAATACAAATTTTTTCCAGTTTCTATGCAGGAGTGTGTGTGCATGCATCCCAAGTCCAACTAGTCTGCTTGACTAGACTACTAAATAAAGTAAGTCAAGAAGTTACATATGATATTTTTTGACCACTAAGACACTTTTCCCAGATGTCAGATCCTAATTTTTAAGTGTGTATAATATGTTAAAGGGAGTCAGAGCAATGCTTGGCACCTGGTGCAATGCAAGCAGGCAAAACGCAAAATTCCTTAGGTATCTTTGCCAGTCACCTCTGTTCTGACCTGCAAGATCTTGTAAGTTCAATGGATGGTAAGCAGGTGGTGCATCAATCCTCTGAGATGCAAAGCCCCTCCTGTGTGTGCCTGAGTTATCCTCAACATCCTGCATGATCACATTTTGGGAAATGGCAGATACTATTCTTGAGTGTAATGTATCTAACCATATAGAAAGCATCTAAGCATTGTCTCACAGTTGTGTGCACTTTAACATCATGGACTCTGTTGTAAGAGATTCCAATAATGGCAAATATTTACTATGAAGGGATACAGTATCACATGGACTTCTGAGTTCTTCGTGGCATCTGTACAGGTGCCCAGTTCGCTGGGTGACTATGTTGTGTGGTAAGTGCTACCTCAA